CCCCCCCTCCCGCCGCCGCCATCTGCTCTCCCCAGTCTTATCCCTTCCGATCTCCACCCAAGGTGGGGAGGGAGAGTAGCTCCACACTTCACCACATTCTCACACACCCTGGGGTCACTCACAATGCGCTCCAACTCCTTGGCCTGCTTCAGCTTCCAAGGGAAGCCGTCGGTGAGGAAGGCCCAGCTCTCCTGGCACGACAGCATGGTGTTGCTGCTCAGGTCTGTGATGATGCCCTGGGAAGGAAAGGGGTGTTGGGTTTGGTGCCCCAGGCTCCCCCACCCCCCACCCCCACGTGGCCACTTCGTCAAGTTTTCTCCCTTGGCCTGGACTTCTGGTGAATTCAGAAGAGCCCTTGCCCTGGCCAGTGCCCGGGGTTATAGGTCTGCCCTGGTGCCCCAGGGCCACTCTGATGCACTGAGGCCATCTACAGGGGCTGGTGGCTGCCGTGTGCCAGGCTCGCGAGGTCTCATTCATTTATCACTACCTTCTTACGGGTAGATACAGGGGTGACCTTCATTTTCCAGGTGAGGGAACGGGCACAGGAGGGGCCAGTTGATATACATGCCCAAGGTCACAAAAGGAATAAATACGAGCTAACTTTACTGTTTGTTAAATGTCAGGCACTCCGCCAAGTGCTTTATGAGAATGACGTCAGCCAACTGTCCCTACAGATGCCAGCTGGTCTCCCATCTTACAGGTGAGGACACAGAGGCTCAGTGCAGCAAAGCTGTGGCCAGCCCGGGAGCCAGAACCTTCTGGGCCTATCTGCTCCCACAGGGTTTCCAGGGAAGGTACCTCCTTCTTCCCTCTGCCCCTGTGCCTGTGAGCTTTCACCGTGGGCACCAGGAGCCCCTGCAGCATGATGTCACGGGCCTCCCAGCCCCACTGGGTACTGCATTGGCCCTCTTGCGTCAGCAGCTGGCCCAGTCCAACGTGGCAAAAGCCATATTTGGTCGCCACGTTCTTGCACTGTGTCCCTTTGCCACAACCTGGGCCACCCATCACGAAGACAATCAGAGCGGACTTGAGGATGTCTGGGGGGCCCAGGGAGGAGGTGGGGAGAGGGTTTGATGCCTACAGGAGCCAACACACGCTGGGGTGACTGTGTCCACAGCTTAGTGTGTGTCCTTGGGTAAGTGACACTGGACACAGGTCTCCTGGAATACCCACTTTGCTATGCCCTAGGGTGGCATCTGGGGGTGCACATCCATGCCCAATGGTACACTCAGGCATGGCATCATTAGTTCTGTTACAGGTAGCCGGGAGGATGTGAACTTGAGCAGGCCAGGCCTTCTGCACACAGCGTCTCCTTGAAGAATCTCAGTGACTCTACTATCCCATTTTACACTTGAGGAAACAGGCTCAGAGTGGGGCGGG